CAAGTTCTCACTATGTAACCCAGGCTGGTCATATTTTCAGTGATTCTCCTGCTTCAGCCTCCCAAGTGCTGGGCTTATAGGCATGTACCACCATCTCTGGCCTAATCTTTACCTTAGCCTTCTAAAATAGTTCACCTTTTAAGTGAAATACAAAGACTTATTTGCCTGTACTATAGACCTAGGTCTTCTGTTTTAACTTTTTGAAAAGTTTTGAGATAGTATCTTGTTATCTATTCTAAGCCAGCTTTGAGCTCATAAATCCTCCTGCCTCAGCCTCCTGCGTACAGGGATTAAAAGCATCTGCCTCTTTGCCAGATTATTTTCTGATGATAGACACTTGAAATTCTTTAGTAAGTTATCAGCAGTTTCAGTCATGAATCTGTTGTCCTGGCTTATTGTTCCTTAAAAGCTTTAGCTTAGAATTTCCTTCACCCAGCTAAAGTCAACCTGCCTGACAGTGACATGAAATATCTGACAGCTATCTTGCCTTTTTTTTGAGAAGATAAATGAAAACTATCTACAACATATTGAAGGAAAGATATAGTCCATTCTGATGACTCTTTTTAATTTGTTAAAATATGGTTAATGTTTATTTCCTTTTATTTATCTATTTATTTATTTATTTTTGCAGAACTGGGGTTTGAACTCAGGCCCTTGCACTTGCCACACAAGTGCTTATTCTACTGAGCTATCTCCCTGGCCCCTTGATTTTTATTTTAATTATTTTGAGGACACAGTCTTGTGTTGTAGCCCAGGCTGGCCTGTCATTTGTGGCAGTCCTTCTGAATTAGCCTCTTGAGTGCTGGAATTACAGGTGTGCACCACTGCACCCAGCCGCAACTTCTAATAAATGAATTTAAAAGTAGATGCCTATTTATAGCAGAAATCAGGAGAATGTAGGGACAAAATCAGTTTCTGCCTGCTTTGAGTGCTGTTTTGCTTTTTCAACATTGTTTTCTCATGCTTAGCTTCCTCATAGTCACAAGTCAGCTGCTTTTTTTTGCAGTACTGCGGATTGAACTCAGGCCCTTGCATTTGCCAGGGAAGTGCTTGTTTTACTGAGCCATCTCCTTGGCCCATCAACTCTCTTTTGAGTTACCACAGATAGTCTCCAAAAGTTCTTTTGTGTGAGTGTGTGTATGTGTGTGTGTGTGTGTGTGTTACCAGGAATTGAATTTAGGACTTCATGCTTGCCAGGCAGGTACTACACTACTGAGTGAAACCGCCAGCCCCATAAAAGTTCTTATTCTTTCAACCCCTAAAACATTGTTGAGGGGCTGGGGATATAGCTCAGCAGCACAGTGCCTGCCTGGCAAGTGCAGGGTTCTGAGTTTGATTCCCGGTACCCCACCCCCCGAAATTGTCAAGTTTCAAGGACTCCAATGAGTCTTGGGTATCTGATAAGACCCTTTGTTTTTTTTTTTTTTTTTTTTTTTTTTTTTTTTTTTTGTGGAACCAGGGATTGAACTCAGGCTCTTGTGCTTGCCAGGCAAGCGCTTATTCTACTGAGCCATCTCCCCGGCCCCCCCTTCGTTTTTTTAACCATGGTGTTAATGAGACCCTTTAATGGCTAAATATTAAAGTTATCTTTCCCATAGAAAATGTAAAAAAAGATGTGTAACAAGAATGTATTAGGGAAATAAATAAATATTTAAAAAAGGGGGGGCTGGTGAGATGGCTCAGTGGTCTAAAGCACCTACTTAGAACAAGCTAAGCTAAGCAAAGCACAGGGACCGCGGTTCAATCCCTCAGTACCACAT